AACCGGCCTCGCCTTCTGTTCTGAGGGCGGTGCCTGGGACCAGACTTTGCTTCCCACATCTAACAGAGGGAAGTTTGGGTGGCTAATTAAATCAGAATTTTAGGCAAACGATTTTTAACCCCATATTATGCATGCCATGCAATAAGATTTGGGATAAATACTAAGAAAATTATTTTGAAATTCAAAGCTGGGGAGCTGGGGGCCCTGTGTTGTATCTGGCGACCTGTCCCCAGGCCTCTCCCCACTCTATTCTAGGAGGAAGCTTCCCACTCCCCACCAGACTCTTCCTTCTCCACGTTTGACTTCACAAAATGTATGGGTGACAAGCAGCTCTGAGTGTCCCCAGCTGGAAGGAAGTCCTACAGGCTACAGAACCGGCTTCGTGAGATGGACTTAGGCTCACAACTACCGAGAATCTGACAGATTGTTCCTTGGGTTGCCAAAAGAAGACACTGGTATGAAAGATTCTTGCCTGGCAACGAGTTACCCAAAGAGGAGGGTGGAACAGGGTGTTGGCCGCTTTCCTTCGGAGAAAATTCTTCCACTCCAGAAGCTGGGATTGGACAGAACCTGCTGTGGAGCTGGCAGAGTGCCTGCCCCGGACAAACCTTGGTGCTACCTCAAAGAACATGTCTCCTGGGACCGAATCATACCCCTTTCCAGTGTGCTCAGGACTCTTGCCCCGATTCCCCATCTCGGGTGTTCACAGCTAGACATACTGGAGAGGTGACTTTTATTTCTGGAATATTCATTTTAGTCATCAGAATTAAAATCTGACATTTGGGAAGTTACTGGAGTCTTTCCCTCCTTTTCACATCTCATTTAAAATATTTCCCATTGAAAATGTCAGCTCAGCAGAAAAGCTCCGCCTTGAAAATACCACTGGAGATAAAGGGTGGGGGAACAATAGCTAATGGCAAAGTACTTCAGGTGAGTTGGTTTTCTTGGCTATCAGCCCTCATCCTTGGAATGAGCCTCAGGGATAAAGGTACAGGGAACACCCAACACTATCCTGTATGTAGGCATATACTTAACAAAGTAGCCTGGTAGAGAGCACCATCCCATTGAATCTAGACCAAAGTGGGGCAGCCTTTGATAATAGGGTCTGCCTTCATGGCTTCCATAGTATTTATTCTTGTAATCAGGCAAGGTTTGATACAGACTTGACATTTGCTGAGCCCCAACACTGTGTGTGCTATATACTCTCTACCTCTTTCTAGCTCCACTTGTTAAAAGTAATCCTGAGTAACAGGTACTATTAAACAATGAAGATGAGGCTCTAGGGAGAGGTTGTGTAACACTCAGTTTGTAAATGTCACAACCAGAATCTTAGAAAAAAAAATCTCCTAAGTCTTCCTTGCACTTGTCTGCATCTACCCAGTGTTTCTCCCACCTGGATGAGACCTGCCTGGCTGTCTGGGAGTTCTGTAGTGTGACATTATTGATGTTACCATAAAATGGGAACCCCCTCTACAAGATCCAATGAACCAAAGCAGTGATACCCTCCTCTCCTGCAAACCAGGATTTGAATAAGCCATGGCGGCGACTCACTTTTTTTACTCATCAGCTTGTATTTCCAACCTGGTTGGATCTAGTAAGGAATATGCTGTTGGATACCACATTATGAAACCATGTTCACTCAGATTCCTCCCTCGGGTCAACAAATTCTATACTCAGAAGGGACTGACCACTTATCTTCATAGATTAAGATGTGTGAGGCCAAAAGAAATTAAATGGCCTGACTAAGGTAAGGTTACTTAGTCCACCAAGTTGATTGGGTTGACTGAGAAGCTTTTGCGTGTAACTTAGCATATTTTTAGCCTGGTATCTTACTTGAAGTGTTTTCAAGGACCCACTCTCACTGATTCCGAGACTGTGTGGCATGCTGGTTATGCTGCTATTTCCCTACCCACTCAGAAATTGGACTGGTGTTTCATGTCTTTGGATATTGATTGTTCTGAGACAAAAACTAAAACAAACAAACAAACAAAAAATACTGCCTGGCAGTAAAAACCCTACCCTCAGAGCTCCAGATTGACTCTGAAGACCCCAGAAGACAAAAAGGAGATTTGACTGGAACCAGAACATCACAAGCAATGCTGCCAGATAAACAGTGACATTTAAGCTGCCTTTTCCTTTTCAATGTGTTCTCTATACATATTCCGGAGACTTCTTAGGTTGTACCTTATTCTCAAGTTCCTCCAGATCATTCAGATCATTCAGATGCCTTGAAACAAGCTTACTTTAGGAATTTAGATGGAAAATAGCCTTGGGACCACCACCACCCCACTTCCCACCCCCATCCCCTTGTTAAACTGTTGTGAAATAAGGTTCATTTGAGGACTTTCTCTCTTGGGAAACAAGCAACTATGATAGGAGTTCCCACATAGACAATGAGAAAGGGTTAACTGCTCCACAGGGTCCTGAGAGAAGTCTGTCCCCCACCAGTTCCCATAACCGGGTTTCCTGAAATGGAGCAGGTCCCAGGTGCCTCTCCACTAATCACATCCTTGCAAATGGGGCCATGAGCTCAGATTAGCTCATCCCTTCACCTTCTTGAGGCCTTCTCCACCTGGAGCACAGAATCTGGGGCAGCCTCACCACTGACTTCCTATCAGGGGTCAGATAGGAATGCTCTCATCGAGGGAAGTTAGGTTAGGGAGCACCAAACGCCATAGTGGTGCCAGCTTCAATACCAGTTCATGGCTCTGACATCTGTTCTAAGACTTGCAGGCAAAGAGCAATACCAAGGTTTACATAACTGAAATATTTTTCTCTTCGCCCCCATTCCCTATGCTTTTCTTCCTCTCCTTCTTAAAGTGACTGGCTCTGGTACAAAGTGGCTTCCTGTTTTTCCTGGCTAAGTCACCCTTCACACAGTCTGATTCCTCATCTATCCATACCAGGTGCTGGGCCAGCCAGGAGACTTGATTTTTTTCCTTTTCCTATGAATTCTCCTTTGCTGGGGGGAAAAAAAAACACCTACCAAATCTGTCTCACAAAGTGGTTCATCCCTTCATAATTGGGTTTTTACCCTCTTTGTAAACAGAGATGCACTCACTGGAAAGGAAGTTGGCTTTGTGGCCAAGAGTATAGAAGCAGCTGAGTAACCTGGTCACATGTGGCCAAGGGAGCCTTTTGATCCGAAGGTCAATCAACTGGATTTTAAGACAAGTAGGCTAATTGGGACATAGATCCATCTTGAAGGAGCCCCGCTAAAAAGAGGTTAGTGCCACAAGCTTAGTCTTGGGTCCGTCTTTGGGAACAGTATCCCAAGCACTTCACCAGGAACCCAGGCCTGCCCAGCTTAGAGCCAGTAAGCTCATTCTTCACTCATCTCTAAAGATGACTTGATTTTATCCATCCCGGCTTTAATGGCTGCCTTCTATTTCTCCAACTTTCATTTTCAGGAGTTGAAAAAAGGATGTGGGATCAAACATCTAAAAGGGTCAGTATGACTAACTCCTTCCCATTTTACCACTTACTTTAGGTGTTATGTTCTAATTTTCTACAACTAAAATAGTAAAATTCTCCAAGGAATATAGTTAAAATAACATCTATGAAATAATTTGTTAGAATCTTTAAATTACAAGAAATTTTAGAAGCCATTTAATCTAGTATTTCCCAGCCAGAGAAGCAATGTTTGTTCCAATTCCTTCCCTTCACCCCACCCCACCTTCTGAGTAGCCACTCTCTTTCCTCTGTCTTTTCCTGGTATCCAAGGTAGAGAATCAAGCCAGTTTGCATAGTGTACTTAAGAATGGGAAACAGTTGACCTGCTTCGCTTCCCAATTTGTGCAATAGTTAAGCCATCACTCACTCAAGTTGATATCTAGTTTTTACTTGAATGTCTTGTTAGGAAGTCGGCCACCACAAACCATTCCACTTTGGAAAGCAGCGGTTTGAAAGGGGTTTTCCATCACAGGAGCTACCATCTCCCTCTATTTCCCCAGCCCTGTGTCTTCCACTCATTAGTCACAAATCTGCCCTTTGAAACCACAGAGAATCAATGTAATCCCCTTATAAAAGGCCCTGGGGAATACTCGGGATGGTTATTGTTAACCTGTCACGGTGGTTCAGACCTGGCCTGAATGATTGTATTATAGATGACCTGAGCTTGGCACACATGTTGTATTCCTAAAACACTGTATAAACCAGTTTCATGTGAATCAAATCATTTTAGACATACAGGGAAGTTGACTGCTTTAAAAACCCTGTTATCAGTTCTTTCATAAACGGAAGTGGGGGCTGGGCATTGAACCTGGGGCTTTATACATGCTGGGCAAGCACTCTACTGCTGAGCTACATCCCGCCTCTTATTTCAGTTTTTAGTTTTGAAATAAGTGTTGTCTAAGTTGTCCAGGTTGGCCTTGAGTTCACTTTCCAGGCCAGGCAGGCCATAAACTTGTCATCTTCACCTTAGCCTCTCAAGCAGCTAGCATTATAGGCTTGAGGTCCACTGGGCTAGATTTGGACAATCTTTATCTAATGCAGAAATCTCCCCTGTTTGACTTTCATACAGATCTAAATTTTCATGCATTTACGTTTTCCTCATGGCAAAATTTGTGTACATACAAAGCATGCAAAATAATGATGATAGACATAGCAAACACTGCCAAGCTCTTATCTGACACCTGGTGCCTCACACCTGCCATGTATTATTTAATTTCTCACCACAACTTCCTTTTGTAAAATTATCCTGATTATTTGTAGATGAGGAAATTCAGGCTTAGGGAAGCTGCAAATTTTTTCTGGTGATAGACCAGACCTGAGTTCAAACAAGGTCATAGAGTCCAAAGTCTATTGTCTTTACCATCAGGAGGCTTCCGATGCCAGAGCAGTTAGAACAACTAAGTATACCACAATATGAGTAAATTGGGCTAAGACACTGAAAACTGACCTAAATGTCTACAGCTTCAAAGATAGACATAAAACTTACTCTTCTTGGATATGGGCACTGTAGGTTTCTCAGAACAATTCACATATTTCAGGACAGCTTAACTGATAAGCCCTCAACAACTTCTCTTCAGCAATTAGTATTAAATAGATGCTGCAAAATTTTATTTCTGGGGTATGGGTTAGAGCGGTTCCTTTTTTTCTAGAGCCTTTGTACTCCCAGGGGTTAATGGCATGAGCTTTTTAGAAGAAAGAAATGGTTCACTATTGGCTGGTAAAAAGTTACTGGATATCATGGTTGATCCCAGCCTGCTCCTAGATGGGTCAAGATCATTCAGATGAGCCCAGTTTTTAATGGCATTTAGGTTTTCGAGTTAAAAATAGTTTGGCAGGGATGGAACATAATAAGTGCCATTTCGAATCTAAACTGGGCAGAGATAAATGGGTGTGACATCTCAGTGTCCTCCAGTTCCAGTTCCCCCCATTTAGTCCTACCTTGTGTAAGGAAGCTTAAGGTGTGACTCTCCTTCAGTCCTCTGTGCCCTACAGCAACTGCCCCCACCCATCAAAGGGCTCCATTGGGCTAAAACATCACCTGCAGTCTCATGTGCAGACTTTCTTTCAAACACATGTCGATCTTTTGCAAATCATGCCCGAAGCCATCAAGCTGATGTCCTGGTCAATGCTAGTTACAGTTAATCAAGCCTGTACTCTGAAGGTGCATGCTCCCTGGGAGCTCATCTTTCTAACCTTTCCTTGGGCAGCAGGCTTATTTACAATCCTAAATCAAAGACTCAT